CTGGAGTACTGAAATTAAAGGCCTGTACTACCAAGTCCTACTCTGAGAAAGATGTTTTAGTCCCCAAAATAAAAGGGTTTTGATTGCTGTGCATGCTCCCCACACTTAGCTTGATCTGTGCATTTTCATCTACGTGAGCTTTAAACATGCACCTTGTTAGTGCTTCTCCTCCTGGTTCTTTTTTTTTCTACGTCTTTGACAGAACATGTTCTCTCTATATTTGAATACTTACGTTCAGTGTGATTCCTGATCTAAGATCTGTTCCTAAATTGATCTTAAAATAACTGGTAGACTTCCTTTAAAAAGAAACATTCAACATTTTTATTGTGTCTTCACTCTTACGGTCTGAATAGAGTACTGTGTTAGTCTGATGGCAAGGGAGAAGGAGCTAATACTGTATATATCAATTAATGTAAAAAACAAATCCTCCTACAAAATACTGGTAAGTTTGATGACATTAAAACATAAAATGACGGGGAAGATCCTGGTTCAGTTACCAGCAGCACAAAATTAACCTTAATAAACAATACAAAAATGAAACAAGTGTTAGTATTTGTGACACAAAGCTCATTTTTTATGTGTGCAATGACTTCATTGTTTTTTGAGACTCCCTGTAGCCTCAGTTGGCCTGGAACTCACTATGTAGACCAGGATGGCCTGGATTTCACAGAAATCCACCTGTTTCTGCCTCCACCTCCCCAGTACTAGGATTAAAGGCCTGTCCAGCACCATGCCCATAAATGTGGTCTGTGCTTCCTCAAATGGAAGTTCTTTTACCTTCTCAGTACAGAAAGGCCCCACGTACCCTATAGTTTCCCCAGTGGGAGCATCTTGCTGTAGAATAGAGCTCCTTAATTTTTTTCCAATTGCAATCCCTTCACATTTGAGAAATTTTTTCACTGGGGTATATAGGTATATAAAACATGTACTAGTCAAGCATTTATGGACAGTAAATCATTAAGAGCTGGGTCTGCCATGGTATGGTAGCACACACCTTTAATCCCAGCACTCCAGAGGCAGAGAGGGACTCCTCTACAGAGAGGGACCCCCCCCCCCAATCTCAAAAAGACCAAAAACAAAAAAAAGATAAATCATTAAGAGCCGGGACTGTATCTCAGAGGTAAAACACTTGCCTAGATTTACAGATCCTGGATTTGAGCCCCAGCATTGGGGGAAAAAAAAATGAAGAATTTATTTTACTTCATGTAATCTGAAGTGACCTCAAACTCATTATATAGCTGAGGATAACTTTGAACTGATGATCCTCCTGTCTTCCCCTCCCAAGTGTTGGGATTACAAGCATAGGCAGGATGCCTGGTTTTATGCAGAGCTGGGGATGGAACCCGGAGCCTAGGCAAGGAGTCTGTCAGCAGAGCCAGCCACATCCTGAGTCCTAGTTTTATTTTAGAACAATCCTTTGATATAATTTTCACTTATTAAGGTAAAAGCAAATTTACATACTAATAAGATAGATGTGTTTATTTTTATATAAAGAATTAAATCTTGGCTGACTAAATGTTGCAGGAGCTAGAGCATTTTCCATGTTTTTCAGAGTTAATATTTTGATTTTATTATTGTCAGTACTGAGAACACCGCTTCACATAGTACATAGTAAAAGATGGCAGAAGTATGTTTAGGGCCTTCAGAAATTATTTAATGATTTTTTTTTTAACAAATTTCAAGCCTGCAATACACATAGCAGTTTTCACAAACACTGTAAGATAACTAACAATCCAAAGATACAGTAACTTGATTCTTAGATGCTGAGCACCCAGGGTCAGAAAACACTGTCTTCTGTTTTCCTTAGTCAACGTGATTTTTCTGTAAGAGCAGAAAATTTTGTAATGGTACAACACCAGCTCCTAACATACAGTGGTCACAAATCTGAGCTGAAGCATTTCAGGCAGCATCTGTTGGCACTGCATGATACGACAGCATTTATTCACGGTGCAGAAAACTCACGTGTGTGTTCAAACCAAAGCTGCAAGGAAGTCATACCATGCAACATGGATGCACACTGCCAGAAACACCTCAGAGTCATCACACATTTGATTTTTAATTAACTTTGGGTTGCTATGCATTCAGAACCCTTTCATTATTGCCCAATTTTTCATGACCCCCAAATTCAGTTAGGTACCCTTATATACCCCACAGTTTAAGAGCTGGCCTGTGTAGTATCCCCAGTAGAATGTTGACACTAGCACAGTCTAGCAATGGAACACTTCTGTCACCACAGGTATCCCTGGGACTGTCATTTTGTAGCAGTACCCCTGCCCCATTCCTCCTCACCTCATCATTGCAAGTTCGTTCTCCATTTCTCTGATTTTCACTAATATATCCAAGGAATCATTCAGTATGTAACCTTTAGAGGTTAGCCTTTTCCACTGAGCATAATTCACCCTTATATCTAGTATATACAGGTAGTTCATTTCTTCTTTGTTGTTTTGTTTTTGTCTTGGAGACAAGGTCTCACTATGTATCCCAGGCTGGCCTTAATTGCCAATCCCCCTACCTCAGCCTCCGAGTGTTAGGATTAATACGTGTGCCACCACACCCAGTAGTGGTTCATACCACAGAGTAATTGCTCAACCACTGAAGTATGGATACTTGTGTTGTTTCTGTTTTTCACAAACAATATGTGGACATAATTTTCATCTCTTGGAATAAATGTGTAGGGATACAGTTGCCGGGCTGTGTGGTAGATTAAGAAACTGATGTTTTCTAGTGCGTCTGTTCCATCTTGTGTTCCTATCAGCAGTGTATGAGTGACTGAGTTCTTCTGCATCCTCACCACCTTTTGCTGTGACTTTATTTTACCCATCCTGATAAGTATGTGGTGACAGTTTTTAACTTGTGTTTCCCCAGCATCTAGTGATGTTGAAAACATTGTCTCATAGCCACTTATCCTCCATCTAATCCTCTTTGATGGAATACCTCTTCAAATCTGTTGCACATTTTCCAATTTGACTGTTTTCTGCTGTTTCAGAGTTCTTTATATATTACAGATACTGATCCTTTGAAGACTGGTTGCAAACATTTTAAGATATTTTTCCCTAGTCTTTAGCTTGACTTTTCATCCTCTTAACAGAATCTTTCACAGTGGAAAAAAATTTTAATTTCTATGAAGTCTAATTTATCACTCTTTCTCCTTTTATGGATTGTTTTTGAAGGAACTCTTTCCTTTGTCCTAGATCCCTAAGATTTTTTTTTTTCTAAGAGTTTTGTAGTTTTGTGCTTTACTTAAGCCCACGATACATTTTTAGTCTTTTCGTATAATAAAAGTACGAGACTTGGGTCAAGACTCTTTCTTACCTGTGGAAGTCCAGCTGACCCACGACTGTTTGCTGGTTATGCCTCCTCCACTTTTGTGCCTTGGTCAGCATTTCTGTGCACATGTTTATGTGAGTCCAGGTCGGATGTCAGAGTTCGCTGTTTGCTGCATTAATATGGTGCCATCTCTTCTAGTACCAGAGTTCTAAATTCTGTGCAGTATGACGCATCTTGGAATTGAGTAGACTGATTTTTTCCCACCTTTTTGTTCTTTTCTAAACAGTTTTACCATTCTACATCCTTTGCCTTTGCATACATTTTAGAACTGTCTTGTCTATGCCTAAAAAAAAATCTTGCTGGGATATGGAGTTTAGCAACTGTAGCTTCCACATACAACTGCATGTTTTGATAGATTGATGCCTATGTATCTCTTTTAATTCTAAATGGTATTTTTAATTTCAATGTTCATTGCTAGTATATAGAATTATAGTTAAGCTTTTGGGGTTTTTTGTTTGTTTGTTTGGTTTTTTTTTTTGAGACACGGTCTCCTTGTAGCCCCAGCTGTCCTGGAACTCACTATAGACCAGGCTGGCCTCGAACTCATAAAGATCCGCCTGCCTCTGCCTCCCAAGTGCTGGGATTAAAGGTGTGCGCCACCACGCCTGGCCTGGAGTTTTTTGGCTTTTGGGGGGTTTTTTGGGGTTTGTTTTGTTTTGTTTTTGGTTAAGTTTATCTTGGCTTATGTTCTTTCCAAATCCATTTTAGTTACATACATTTTTATAGATTCCTTGGGATTCTGTACATCATGCCTTCTGCAAATACAATTTTCTTTCCTGTCTGTATACTTTTATTTCCTGTCTTGTTTTAGTGTACTAGTGAGCGCTTCCGATGCTTTAGGTGAACTTCTTAGCCTTGTTCCTAATCTTAGAGAGAAAGCATTTGTTCTTCTCACTGCAAAATGTGACATTGCTCTGTGTGGTAGGTTTATTATAAGAGCTGCTTGTGGAAAAGAAGACTTCTAGGGATTTGATGAACCTGGCCAGCTGGGGCAGGCAGCTTCCCACTGTGAAGGGATGCCTTCAGAGCTGTTAGTTGGGGTGATGTGTGAATAATAAAAACATAGGATTTGAAGTAGGTACATTCAAATTTAAATTTTGACCCCCTTGGCCTTCCTGGTAGAAGGCCTGGGGCAAATTACTTACTAGTCTCTAAGTCCATTTCCTCCTCCACAAAAGGGAGGCCAGCTCCCTTCCTAATGGTATGCAAGCCTTTGTAGCACTGACATTTAGGCGGAGTAGGAGCTTGAAGCTCAAAGTTTAGTAAGAATTTCACCCTGCCTGGCTGAGACACCGCCAGATACTTCAGTAGATCTGTCTTAGTGGAAGAGTGGGTGAATTCTGATGGATCATTAGCATTTGCATTGGGGATCTTTAGCTGGTCGGGGAATATATGCTGTCATAAAGGACTGATGCTTGGAATTCATTTCGGAGCGTGTAAGCTTGGCAAAGCACACCTCATGAGTCACCCTAGATGACATGCTCTGACAACCAACTGGGAGTACTGGCAGACCCTATTCCAAAGACTGTTAAGATTCATGAGTTCATATGTACCATGTTTAGCAGTGCCTGACATGTTAGCCATGATGGCGTGTTAGCTATGATCATTACTATAACCGACACATTCTTATTTGTGGATCACCTTTCTTAAAAATAAAATTGTTTACTTTGCAGATTTTTAAAAACATGGATTTGACCAACCATGGACTTATTCTACTGCAGCAGTTAAACGCTCAGCGAGAGTTTGGTTTCCTGTGTGACTGCACGGTTGCAATCGGCGATGTGTACTTCAAGGCACACAAATCAGTTCTTGCTTCATTCTCCAATTACTTTAAGATGTTGTTTGTCCATCAGACCAGGTAACTAAAGTAGTTGATAATAATCTAATGGCTGTAGACCTGCCTCCCGTGTCCCTCTTCCCACTGAGCATACTCTTGGCCTTCATCCAGACCGTGCTCTCTGCCTCCCTAGGACCCCAGGCGCCCAGCTCCCTTGTTGCCCTACCTGTTCCCTGCCCTTCTTGGTTACCAGTGCTTTGAGCAGAACTCAAGAATCACCAGCCTGCCAGCTCTGTGGAGCCCCTCGCCCTCCAAACTGCCTCTGATTTGACCCACAAAATATGGATTGGCAGGGCCAGCCAGAAGACCCCAGAGAAGAACCCCTGTGTACTGAGTCTGCTACTCCAGGGAGGAGTTGGAGGACAGGAATTTCGTTTCCCTCTTTTCAACGTAAAATCTCTATCTTTGCTCTGATTTTTCTTCTCATTTGTCCTAAATATCTTAGTGAGAAGAACATCTCAGTGTGTAAGGACAGTGACCTTCCTCTCTCTCCCTCGAGTCTTTCCATCTTTTTCTCCTGTACTTTTCATCCTCCCACCTTCCCCTGCTGAATCCACGGAGGCTGGAGACTTTCTTGACCTTGCAGGCTTCTGGAGTACAGCCCTGTTCTGTCTCCCATGAGCCTTCTTTAAAAGGCCACCTGTGTCTTTCACACACTCTCCTCATCCCACACTCTTCCTGTCCATTTGCACTGTGGTTTCCTGCCCATCTCTCCACTGCAGTCATCATTCAAAGGTCACCCCTCTACCAGAATGCTGCCCTTCCCCAGGCTCTGTCCTGCCATCCTGCTCAGCACTGCCTGCCCACTCCTTCCCTGCCCCAGCCGCAGCAGCTGGCACCTGTTCTGTGACTGGAGGCCCTTTGTGTTCGGCACGTTCTACCCTAAGCACTGCACTAGGACCTCTTGAGCTCTGGCCCCTGCTCCTTGCGGTCCCTGAGCACTCTCCACTGTCCAGGGTGAGAGGGAGCCTGTGTCCTCATGCTTTGCCTTTGCTACTAGAAACTTGAAAGTTATAGCTCTGCCCCCCATCTTCTTCAGAACCATGTTCTAAGTGCCCCGAACCTGGCTGACTGCTGGTCATTTAGACCTGATTCCCCCCTCACACCCCAGTTTTTCTCATTGGGCATGGATAAAACTGAATTAAGTCTCTGCTCCAAAGCCCAACCCCGCCCCCAACCTTGCCTGTTTTCTTATCTTCAAGTAACCAACTGAAGCTTAGGATCGCAATTTCTTCAAAATGCCTTCACATTTGTTCTTTCTTTTCTTGCATTTTAACCGGTTCATTTTCCACATCACTGTCAGATTAATATTCCTAAACACTGCTTAGGTCATGGTGTGCCTTTGATGAGAAGCTACTAGAGGTAGGGCTTGCTTTGACTGGAAACCAAGAAGATCACTGCCTAGCAAAATTAGTCTTTAAACTCCCTATTGTGTCATGGGGGAGGAGCCTTCAGGCTTGAAACCTGACCCTCCCACCTCAACACCTGGGCCCCCTGAGACACCCCGCTCAGCTCCTCTTAGACCTGGCCTGCCTTTGTATTCACTCACCTGAGCAGAAATTTCTTGGTAGTCCACCCATTCCCTGATTTCTGCCCTCTTCCTTGCCTTCTTCCTAATCTAGTAGACACAATAATTAAAGGTGACCTATACTATGCTGCCTATGAGCTCTGTGTTCTCCCCCAACTTGTTTTCTGTGTGCTCATCTCCCTCATCTGTAAATTTCTTGAGCAGAGAGCGGGTTCTATAGATCTTTTTGGATACCATAGAAATGTGAAATGTGTGCCTAGAATAGCCACTTGCTATAACCTGGAGGAGCAGAAGAGCCAGGAAAGGTGACTTAACAGTGAGGACAAGCTGTCTTGCAGCACTAAGAATGTTCCCTTTAAGCAGGGACTGCTGGGATGTATACCTGTTTCCTAGCACTTGGGAGGCTAAGGCAGGAGAGTCCCAATAAGACTTGAATTTGAAGAGTAAAAGACAATGTAATTGGTTTTAATTAGATACAAGACATTTCCCTTATTTTAAGTATGGGGGCGGTGAGTAAATGCCTTTCTAACAAAGGAGTGTGTCTTATAACACCCAAGCTTATGTAGGAGTATGTGTTTTACTGCACCAGTGCTCCACTTGGGTAACTGCCTAGTGGTAGTTACTTGTACCTCTGCAAACAGAGCTGAGACTGGCGTGCTTTTAACCCGAGTCTCCTGTGTCCCCTCAGAGGTCCTGTGGCACTTGATCTAGCTCTGCCTACTCAGAGCCTGAGAACATGACTGGATCCTTCACACTTCAGAGTCTCTCAATGGCTCATAACTACCACCAGATGGCTCTATCTACAGACTGAGTTCTCAAAAAAAAAAAACAAAAAACTGAAGAATAGGCCCTGCTAAGAACAACCTTCTGACAATGTTTAGCATTTTTTTAAAATCATTTTCTTAAAATTCTAGTGAAGGTTGCTGGGTGTGGTGGCGCACACCTTTAATCCCAGCACTTGGGAGGCAGAGGCAGGCAGATCTCTGTGAGTTCAAGACCAGTCTGGTCTACATGGTGAGTTCCAGGACAGCTGGGGCTACACGGAGACCCTGTCTCAAAAAGGCCAAAAAAATAATAAATTAAAATTCTACAGAAGAAAAGTTTAAACATGGAAATTACTATGGAAGTCTATCCAGAAGAGTTTGTAGCCATATTAAAACTTTGTTCACTTTTCTCCTGCATAAAAGTGCTATGTCAAGCAGATGTCTGATCAAACCTTACATGGTGTTATACGGTAGAGGATGGGAAAGTGGACAGTCTGGCCCCTAGTGAACTGAGTGGTTAGAGAGGTCAAACTGGCCCTGAGAAAAAGGAGTTTGAGGACCGCTAGGTCTGGAACATGACATAAGGAATTTTGAAAAACTCCACCTACTTTTCTAAGTGTGTGTGTGTATGTATATGCATGCCTCAGCTTCAAAAGTATTTTGTAAAGTAAATAAAAGCTGTACAAATTGGTGCCTAGAGACTCACAGGGCCCAGAAGGCCTTGCCAGCAACTCTAGGCCCTCCGGGCTTGCTCTAGATGTCCTTCCACCAACCCTGCCAGGCCCAGGAGTCCTTTTCCCTCCAGGGCCAGCTAAAGCATGAACTGTGGCCTCCCCAGCTCCTTCCTAGCCTTGCCATCAGGGACTGTACATACTTGTTTACAACTGGAGATGCTGAATTGTCAGTAATTGCTTATAAGCTTTTATAAAGGACAGCCTATCCAGCCACAGTGAGCAGTTGCAAAACCCTCATGAATGTTTCTCTGGAAAGGGATTCTGTGGGGCTTTTAGTGGATGCTGAAAGAAAGCCCTTCTGGATTTCCACACTTCCCCACTGCAGGGAAAAGAGGCAGCCTGGGATCTCTAGCTGGCCCCTCTTTATCTTGAGGACCACCTCCATTCTGGAGTAATTCGCATCTCTGAGGGCCTAGGGTTTCCAAGTTCCCCAGCCCTCTGCCTGATCTTGCAAGGCCCCTAGTTCCCTCTTCACTTGGGAGTTGACTAATTATATTACCAAAGTCATCTTTACAATATAATCCTTAACTAATAAATTTCCCCAGAGCATCTAAATATGTTACACGCTACACATAGTGTTGCTAGGACTCATCTTAAAGGAAAAGCATCTGTATATTTGCATTCCTGTTTCAAAGGTGTAAGCAGTCTGGAGGGGTATAAAAGATTCCATGTAAAGACATGAACAGTATGTGTCTTTTTAAAAAGGAAAATAATGAGCTGCGCACGGGGGGTGCACACCTTTAATCCCACCACTCAGGAGGCAGAGGCAAGTGGACTCTATGAGATCGAGGCCAGCCTGGTCTACATAGTGAGTTTTAGGTCAGCTGGGGCTATAGAGCCTGTCTTAAGAAAAAGAAAACATGATTACTAAACCAGCTCAAAAGATTTATAATACCAAGAAGTCATAAGATTAAAAAAAATCATTTTCAATTCTAAGGACATTCAAAGAAGCTATCTTTGAAAAATGCATAAAATATGTTTATTTGTTTGCCCTAGCAAATGCCTCATAATATAGACAATACAGAAACATGTGTCTCGTTGGGCTCAGGAATGTGTGAGGCTTTTGGACAGTGGTGGTCTGAGGAGAGTTCTCACCTCTTTGCTATTGCAGTTTTGTGGGGAGCATTTCTGAGGTTGTGCAGCCAGTAGTCGAAAAGTTAGACACTCTGCAGTATCCACCAGCTGCTTTAGGCGCCTCCCAGCTAGCAGTTAGCTTTCAGGACAGGACCTCTTGTTTCTCATCTATCAAATGGGAACAATTAACCCTGCCCTGTCTACCACACTGAGCTATTTTGTTGCTCTGAAGGATTTGGGGTTGACTGTAGAATCAGGCCTAGAAGCAAATCTCAGCCCCACCACTTACCATTTCTGATCTGAGCCCTACCACCTGTAGCATGCAGATGCTAATGATGACATCTGGTGTGTCCTAGGCTGGTTTCGGTGCCACCTACCAACTCCAGGAAGGTGCCCAGAGTCCTGTGCCAGCTGTCCTTGCCATGTTTCTGCCTACATAGCTCAGAGCTGTGGAACAGGGACAGTTTCAACAGGCTCAGGTTCCTTTTGGTATCCTTACATTAGGAAGTGTTATGTTAGCCAGCCCCCTCCTCCCATGTCACCTACAGTTTTAGATATTTTCTAATCAGCTAGGTTTTTGACTTACCTTAAAAGATCTGCTAAGCTCCGGACTCGATCAGTATGGAACTTTTAACTGGAAGCTTGGCCTGGCCAGTGATGCCAGTGGTCAGAAGTGGGAAATGTTCCCATCTCATTTGTTCTCAGATGTCTGTTTTGTTCTTTAGGCGATATGATTCCATTTGTAGGTTGGTGTTACCTCTTGGGCTTTCTGTACCTTTCTTTCAGTGAATGTGTCCGTCTGAAGCCGACAGACATTCAGCCTGACATATTCAGCTATCTCCTCCACCTGATGTACACTGGGAAGATGGCTCCGCAGCTGATCGATCCTGTCCGCTTGGAGCAGGGGATCAAGTTCCTGCACGCCTACCCCCTCATCCAGGAAGCCAGCCTCGCCAGCCAAGGCACCTTTTCCCACCCTGACCAAGTCTTCCCGCTGGCCTCATCATTGTACGGTATCCAAATCGCAGACCACCAGTTGAGACAAGCCACCAAGATGGCTTCAGGACCTGAAAAACTTGTGCGTGAGCCTAGGCCCCAGGCATCCAGGATGAGCCAGGAGCCGGTGCCCGAGACCTCCCAGCTGTCCCAGCTGACTGCGAATCTGGCCCAGGTAAACCGGACAAATATGACCCCCGCGGACCCCCTGCAGACCTCGCTGTCCCCCGAACTTGTCTCCACGCCCGTCCCTCCCCCTCCTTCCGGGGAGGAGACCAACCTGGAGGCCTCGTCCTCCGATGAGCAGCCTGCATCCCTCACCATAGCCCACGTGAAGCCCAGCATCATGAAGCGGAACGGAAGCTTCCCCAAGTACTACGCCTGCCACCTGTGCGGCCGGCGCTTCACGCTGCGGAGCAGCCTGCGCGAGCACCTGCAGATCCACACCGGGGTCCCCTTCCCGGCCGGCCCACAGGGCGAGGGCCGCGGCCCCCTGTCGCTCTGCAGCAGCGCCGCGGACCTGGGCAAGGACACTCTGGAGGTGCCTGAGGCGGGGATGATCAGCGACAGCGAGCTGCAGCACATCTCCGACTCCCCCATCATCGACGGGCAGCAGCAGTCGGAGACGCCGCCCCCCTCGGACATTGCGGACATCGACAACCTGGAGCAGGCCGACCAGGAGAGGGAGGTGAAGAGGCGGAAGTACGAGTGCACCATCTGCGGCCGCAAATTCATCCAGAAAAGCCACTGGCGGGAGCACATGTACATCCACACCGGCAAGCCTTTCAAGTGCAGCACTTGTGACAAGAGCTTTTGCAGGGCCAACCAGGCCGCCCGCCACGTGTGCCTCAACCAGAGCATCGACACATACACCATGGTGGACAAGCAGACTCTGGAGCTCTGCACCTTCGAGGAGGGCAGTCAGATGGACAACATGTTGGTGCAGACCAACAAGCCCTACAAATGCAACCTGTGTGACAAGACATTCTCCACTCCCAACGAGGTGGTCAAACACTCCTGCCAAAACCAGAACTCGGACGTTTTTGCCCTAGACGAGGGGCGGTCCATTCTCCTGGGCAGTGGGGACTCCGAAGTAACAGAACCTGACCACCCAGTGTTAGCGTCCATCAAAAAGGAACAGGAAACCGTTTTGTTAGACTGAATGTTACTTGTCTTTTTAAAAACTGTCGTTTTTACAAAGTCCCTTCTCCTCTCCCCAGTTGGGAAACAGTAGTTCTCCATGGCATGAAACAAACAGCCTGCTCCCCTCTCTTCACGTTCTCCCAGCCCCACCTCTGTAAGGCTTTGTGCGTTATAAACCTGGAATATATTTACTTTAATTCAGGGGATATTGGAAAGATAATGGTCAGTAGTACTTATAAACAAATAGGTTTTGAGAAGTTTTAGATTATTTTAAAGGCCTACTTGGAACTAATTAAGAGTATATAATAAGAACAACTAGAATAAAATTTGGTAAGCTAAAATTATGACTTTCCCTGGGTAATAAGTCTTCCTTCTCAGAAAAACAATGTCAGAAAATACAGCATGCTTCTTAGAGATAAAGCTGGGCTCTGTACTATGCAAAAAAATCTAGAACGTATGGAAGAACTTGAAACCCAAGAAAATGTTTTTAATATTTGTCCTCTAGGTGTCTTATTTCAGAATATATCCTTTGAGATTATGTCCAGTTAAGAGAAATCGCTAGTTAAGAAATCGACTTTAACAGAATGCAAAAGAGTAATAATGTGATGGCAATCTTCATTTTAGGATAAAACCTGACAAGCTATGCGTCTGTGTGTTTATGAGCGAACATGTGTGGATCCTTGCTACAAACAGGTGAATTAATGCACATGCCTTATCCAACTGCTGGCTTCTTTCCATGGTGAACAAGAGGGTGCTATATTTTGGTTTCTGACAAACTTGCTTTAAGATCAGATTTGGACATACTGTTCTATAGATTGTCGTTCTGAATAGAAAATGGCATGCCAATTCCCAGCAGTTGCCATCAGTAAGCTTATTTCAGTAACAACCAGCTGTTTATCATTGTGTGTCCACTGCAGGGAAAAGACTATAGGAATGTGTGTCTTACAGGGGAAGCTGTGAGCAGAAGGTGTAACTGTAATGGCTAAAAGTCAATGCTGCCAGGCATGGTGGTGCCCACCTATAACCCCAGCACGGGGAGGTGGAGGCAGGAGAATTGGGAGTTTGAGGCCAGCCTGAGCTACATAAAGAGACCCTGTTTTTCTGTAGTTCACTGGCAACATTTATTTAAGCATCAAAAATGACACAGAGAAATCAGGACCAAAAAATCAAATTTCTTTTTGAGGGAAAAACAAACTTGATTTTGATGTGTAGTCTCCAATTTTTTTTAACACCTAAAATTTTCTCCACTGGCCTAAAAGCATTAAAACTTGTCCATTAATCTTCCCTTGGGTCAATAAGAAAATGGTCTCACAGGATGAAACAGGAGCCAGAAGTAAGGACTAAGGGGCAAGGGAGGGGGAATAGTTCATAGCTATACCATATATGTATGTTAGAAACCGAATATCTCGTCATCCTCTTATGTATAGTTGAGTTCTCAGATTTGTAAGTTTTTATACATCCTTTCATTGAATAAACATTGAATTAAATGGGCATGTAATTTTTTTTCTCTCCATATATTTACCCAAAGAACACAAGAAAGGAAGTGTAGGTACCTGGCACCAAGAATTGTTTTCTTGCTAGACTTCCTCCTGTCAGCTGGTCAACAAGCATTTCCCTAACCTGAGTGCCACTGTTCACATTGATAAACTGAAGCTGATAGATGCATTGGTCATGAAATTGTGAGAATCAAACAAACAAGCTCTGTGAGAGTGCTAGGAGTGAGTATAGATGTCATTAGACCAGTTTTCTTTATGAGGAAGAAAAAGGAGACTAGGAGGCACTTGCCTAAAGATGACACAACGCACAATATAAACGTAGATCATTAAACATTCGTTTCCACCCATTTCATCCTTTTTTAGATTTATTTATATTTTTTATTTTTAAAAATTATTTGATATGTATGTGTTTTGCCTACACGTTTGTAAATACACCACATGTGTACATTGCCCATGGAGACCAGAAGAGGGTGTTGGGTTCCCTGGAACTGGAGTTACAGATGGTTGTTAGCCATCATGTGGATACTGGGAGCTAAACCTGGGTCCACTGTAAGAGCAGCCAGTGTTCTTAACCACTGGAGCCATCTTTCCAGCCTAGCCTTTTTTTAGTGTGTGTCTGGGTTTCCAGTATGTGTATTATGTGTGTGTGTCCCCAGAAGTCAAAAGAGAGGGTCGGAATCCCCTGGAGCTGGAGTTACAGGCGATTGAAAGCTGCCTGACATGGGTAGTGGGAACTGAACTCAGTCCACTTCAAGAGCAGTAAACACTTTTAACTGCTGAGCCATCTCTCCAGCCCCAATTTCATCCTTTTTATTTTTAGTTATATTCACAGCTCTCAAATAAAACAGCCTTGGGCCATGTCTGTAAAAGAGTACTTCAGAGTAGTTCCTACAGCTGACCACAGCATCCCCATGAGGCCTCAAAGGGACACAAGATATAGCCTAAAGGTGGGATCTTGGACACCAGGAAGTCTTGGGAATCTCCAGGACATACCAAATGAGAGCAAGATACTAGTCACCCCAGATCAGCTTGAACAGCTTGGTAGAGGGTGACAGTTGTGAACCTGCTAATTGCACATGCTGAACAGGGGTTTTGGGCACCAGCTTTCAGCACCTTCCACTAGTAGAACATCTCCCTCCCAAAATGAAGAGCTGCCTTATGAATGCTGAAGCCCAGCCCACTGTCTAGTGCTGGCTGCCTATTCCACTTCTGAAGGTTGTACATTTAAGTTTATTCACAGCTTTTTAAAAATTATTTTATTACTTTTTATTTTTATTATATTTATTGTATAAGTGTATCTCCTGCTTGTATGTAAGTGCACCCATGTCATGCAATGCACTGGGAGGCTAGAAGAGGGCATCAGATCCCCCGGAACTGGAGTTACAGATTGTTGTTAGCTGCCATATGTTGGGAATTGAACCTGGATCTTCCGCAAGAGCAGCCAGTGCTCTTAACTGCTGAGCCATCTCTCCATCCCCTATTCACAGCTTTTTGATGGCAACCATTTAAAAAGTTTTAGAGATTCCTATGATGGTATAGGCACTCCGAGCACGCAAGCTTCAATGTTAATTTGAGCTATAATTCTTGTGTGTACCTCTTACTGACACTATTTACAGGGAAAGCAATAAAAAGGGGTTCAATCATTCAACATGGATGACTAAGAGAATTTTGTAAAGTATGGTAGGATTCTACCATGGGAAATGAGCTTTAGTGGGTAGAAAGCATTTCCCCTGCAAAGTAGTCATAGATGATAGGAAAGCAGTGTGAGCACAGGCCTCATTATCTTCACTGCTGCTCTTGAAAGTTCAGGTTGCAAGAATCCAAGCATTCAAGATAAGCGCTCCAAGCCAGGCACAATGGCTTGTGCCTATAATTCCAACATTTGGAAGGCTGAGGCTGGGCTTCAAGTTCAAGGCTTGCCTGAGTTATATAGTGATACCCAATCTCAAAAAATAAAATAGGAGCTGAGGATGTAGCTCAATCAATGGAGTGCTTGCATAGCATGCACGAAGCCCTGAGTTTGATCCTCAGCACTTCATAGACTGGATGTAGTGGTTCAAGCTGGCAATCCCAGCACTCAGGAGGTAGAGGCAGGAGGATCAGAAGTCTAGTGTCATCCTCAACAACACAGTGATTTTCAGGTCATCCCAGGCAACATGAGATACTGTCTCAAGAAAAACCAAAACAATAATAATAAGTTTATAATAATTAAATTCATAAACCAAGCTTATCTCTGGAAAATGTATAATGTCTGCCTTGTGAAATTCCCCAGTCATGAAGATGGTTCTTGTAAAAAGAAAGTCTGATTAGAGCTGGGTGTGGTGGCGCTTGCCATTGATCACAGCACTCTGGAGGCAGAGGTAGGTGTAGCTCTGTGAGTTAGAGGCCAGCCTGGTCTACATAGCAAGTTCCAGACCAGCTGGAGCTAAAGGGAGACCCTGTCTCAAAAAGACCAAAATAAAAAATAAAAAGAAAGAAAAGAAAAAGAAAAAAAGAGGAAAAAGAAAGTCTGATTGTAAAGAGAACAAAATTCTGGACTGGGTATTTGCCTGCTCGGTACATTATTACTCCTCTCAACAACCATGTCAGACATGTCTCCCATTTTTTTTAAAGGGAAAGTAGTCCCAGAGAGGTCAAATAACTTTTCTAAGGTTACCCAGCCAAATAGACAGCCAGGCTTCAATCCCTCTCCCATCTCCACCTCCACCCCCAGCCCCTTGTGGCTTACTCAGAAAAATGATGCATTCAAGGTCTGACCAGCAATTGACAAAGCTTATGATCTTGTAATCAGCAAACCTTTGGTTCGGCAGCAGAGGAAAACAAAGGGCAAGAGCATGTAGAGGTTTAGTTTGGGCTCATCTGGTCTGCTTTTTTGTGGGGCTTTATTTTGTTCTGTTGATATATATGTATGTATGTGGCTTTAGACCTAGGTTTGTCCAAATTATAAAGAAGAGGCAGATCCTCACTACTAAATCTGCCTGCTTTTCAGAGTTCTAATTCAAAAAGCATAATGTTTCCTTTTTCCTCTTTCTTTTTGGATACCGGCCCAAATCCTAGGCATGTCTGCCTTGACACACTAGCATTCTCCCTCTCTGGAGCGACTTTGCCTCGTGCAGCTGTGTGTAGACCTCCACTGCTGAGCCTGTCTGCTTTCTTGGACCCTAACTTAAAGGCATGGCTTTCTCTCTTCCTCGTCTCCATTTCCCTCCTCCCAGCAGCTGGAGAATTCTGGTGTGCTCTTAGATTTGGGGCCTCTCCTGTTGGTCATTCCAAGAGGCCAAATCCCAAAGCCTAAAGAAATCAGACCACCACACCCCACCCCATACCCTTTTCTCACTGTCTTTGGGGCAGAGGATTAAGAAGCTGTGCTGTGCTGTGCTTTTTCACAGCTCCTAATTTATGGGCCTACCCAGTACCTGGCTCCTCTGCTTACCAGAATTAAATTTCTTGGTAGGCATTTCCCACCTCCCCTGAAATGGTTTAAAAGTCAGATGTTTTCCTTTGGGGATTTTCTCTGAATGCTCCTGCTCCTCTGAGTCTTTCCTATCATCCTGACTAGGACGACTCTCTTGCCTACTATTGCTTAAGCTATCCTTCTTAATGAATTTCCTCTCCCGATTTTGTAGGTCTCGCGTTCCCTCCATGTTGTCTCTTCCTTCTGTTATAATATACCATCTCTTTCTAGTGCTCTGCTACCTCAAGGCCCTATCATGGCTTCTAGGGCCATGGTGCCCTCTCTCCAAATAAAGCTCATTCTTCAAAGGCAGTTTTGTGTCAGCTCCTTTTCTGAAACAGCCTACTTGCTGTTCTCTAGCAAATAGAACTTCCCTGCCCTGTTGTAGTTTCTCTCAAATTCTAATAAAGTGATCCTAGAGCTTCTAAAAATGAATCGCTGCCAGGAGTGGTGATGGTGGTGGTGCACACCTTTAATCCAGGCACTTGGAAAGTAGAGGCATGTGGACCTCTGTGAGTTTGAGGCCAACCTGTTTTATACAGTGAGTACCAAGCCAGCCAGGGCTACATCATTAAATCCTACTGAAAAAGAAAAGGTTGGAGTAATGGCCCAGTGGTTAAGAGCACTGGCTCCTCTTCCAAAGGACCTGGGTTCAATTTCCAGGACCCACATGGCAGCTAACAACCGTCCATAACTCCAGTTCCAGGGGATCCGACACCCTCTTCTGACCTCCTAGGGTATTACACGACACAGGTGCACTTACATACATGTAGGCAATATACTCATACATATCAAATAAAAAAATAAATACTTTTTAAAAACAAAACAAAACAATAAATAAGTAGCCAGGAAGAAAGGAAGGAAGGAAGGAAGGAAGGAAGGAAGGAAGGAAGGAAGGAAGGAAGGAAGGAAGGAAGGAAGGTCCACATATATTCAAGTATTTCCATGAGCTAAACATGAAGAAGGAAAAGAAAAACTTTTACAGCTTAACCTACTTATCCTGTAATTGGGGCAATTCTTTTCAAGACATATTAGAGTCTTACATTACCACAGTAGCCCTCATCAACCTTCTGTGTCACAGAACTTCCTGAAGAGCTTGAGCAGATTGCTGGCCCTGCTCCTGAGGAAGGATGTGGTTCCTTCCCTGAAGGGTGGAACTCAAAAAATTGTCTTTGTTTTGCTTTGTTTTGTGGCAGTAGCTCAGGCTGGCCTCAAACTCTATGTTGTTGAGGATGGCCTTGAGCTTCTGATTCCCCCTGCCTCCCAGTGCTGGAGAGTGCTGGGATTTCTGGCATATGACACCACACAGCACCCTCCCTCTATTTCCAGTGCTGGAAATAGAACCCAGGTGCTAGGCAAGCACCCAACCAGCTGAACTACACCCCAGCCTGACACCTAATGATTTTTGGCAGGTTCCCAGATGGTGCTGATACTGGGAACCCTCTATGAGATGGCAAGCACAGGTCTTCTCCAAATCATCTCTGCTGCAGGATCACTGTCCTTTCTTGGTCTACTTTCTTCCCAGAATAGTAAGTGCATGT